AATAGTCATTCTTCCCCAGCTTTTCTGCATACTTTGGATTTATTAGTGTGCAAGCTGGTTTTCCCCTCTTCTCCATCCCTTCTCACTCAAGCTTCTCTCCGTCAGCCTACACATGCCTATTGGTTCTTTGATTGCAAAAAAACCACTGTTTATTTTCAAGCTGATTATTTCTGTTCCCAGGCTGTTCTGACACCACAGGATTCGCTGTTGGTGCTTCTTATAGCTTTGGAAACAGCTGAATCACAAAATAGAGGGAAAATATCACTAATTTTATTCAGGCAAAAAATGGTTTAAGACTGTAACTTAGTGGGGTTTTTTTTGGAGGGGAGCAGGCTGTGGATTATTTTTGGCATTTTTTCCCCGTGGGATCAGACTTCATTGTATCAGATAGTTGATTATGGGCATGGTGAAGGTTCCTACTTGTTGATAAGTCGCTCAGTAGATATAATTCTCACATATCCAGCAATGTAGTGGTGTCTTCTGCACAGACTGCAGCATGCAAAAATCAAGTCACTGTTAAGACCTTGGTGCCTACAATGCTTCTGGGGTAGGAGGAAGAAGTACAGAATTTCTAAGACATTTCTTAATGCTGAGCCAAGGCAAGGATGTGAGAAAACAGACTGATGAAGAGGCAGTAGCAATTATGGTATTAAATCCATAGTCATGCTTGGGGCACATAACTTCACAAGCTGTGTTAAGGGGGTAATCACCACTATACTGGAGGAATCATCTATTTTAGAGATTAATTTAACAAAAAACCAGATTTTCCTTATTGGGAGAACATTAAAGCTTCATCATTCAACTGCAATAATCATCCAACTTTCAGTAAAAACCAAACAGAATAGAGGCAAACAGGTAGTACTTGGTTTGATGAAAACATCAGCTGATACACAGACCACTTTGTGAAACATAGGACCACCTTTGGGAAGCATGGGTTTCTAGGCATGTTTGGATTGTTAAATGTTGATCCCTTGCTTGATTGTCCCTTGGTTGCAGGTAGGAACAGGGGAATGGAGAAGAGCAAGGCTTTGTGAGTTGCATTTTCCTGAAAATCATCTTTGGACACTTTACAAGTTGTGAATCCCTTTTTTCACTCAGTCATTCTAATTTGTTCAGCACTGGGTTATATTTCCTGTGCAATCCCATTGCAGACTATCCCATAATGAGCTGACACATAAGTTTACTGCTCAAGGACACTTTGACTCCAGCAGGGAATTCCTGCCCATTTTCTGCAAGAGCCATAAGAGGCTGCAAAAATCTCCCCAAAACATGTGAAGGAGAAACACAAGATGAAAGACATGCTGAGAAAGACTATATAGGTTGGAGGGTTGCTGAGGATAGGGAGTATTCATCACAGCTTTGGAGGCACTGTGTGGGCAATATTGCTTATAATGGTGCTATTCATTTCTGCCTGTTGATTGCTTTTAATTCCTTGAAATATGTAACCAATCCTTTTCCTTCCTCCCTGCCCCATGGTAATAAGCAGTAAGATGCTTCAGAGGGCCAGGGGAAACAATGGTAGTGGTGGGAGGCACTGAGCTCCTGGGAGTCCTTTTGTCCCTGTGTGTGTCCCTATTGCCTGCATCCTCCTTCCCTCTTCTCTGACCAGCTGGCCTCTCTCACACACCCCCATATGCTCTTGTTCTCACTAGTTTATAAAGAATAGGATACCCTGCAGACTTGCCTAGTCAACAAGAATAAAAAATAGCTCATCTTATTAAAAACCTGTCTCAGGAAAGCTTAAGAGCACCAGCTTGGTCATCTGTCACACCTTACCTTTAGAAAG